CGGCCCCTGCCTGGCACTGTGGGCAGGAGCAGCCCCTGCGGCCAGCCGTGGGCACAGCACGGCACGGCACGGCACAACGTCCCTCCCCACTTCCCCTTCCTTCCAAACAACCCAAACTCCTTGACGTACCAAAATCAGCAACGTTTATTGAAGTGATTTATGGTGCATTCAAAAGCAACCAAGGGATTTTAATAATTGCATGTGCTTCCTTTCTCAGTTTCTTTTAAAGTGAAATTAATCATATTATCAGATTGTAACCCGTTACTTGTAGCGCAAAAGAAAGGGAAAGGGTGATCGATAATGCTGCATCTAAAACACCCAGGCACATATGGTTCAGTTTGTGTTTTATTACAATTAAAGTGTATTCACTGGAAGCTAGTATCAGGTACAACAAATGCCAGTATTCCAGCAGTGGAAGCCACCAGGAACTGATCTGCTCGCTCTCTCAGAATGCAGAGATATTAATAGTCAAACATAAAAAAAAGAATTGAAGCGCTTCTTTTTGGACGGGTCTTTCACATTAACTTGCTCATAGGGACACTGCAGAAGAAATAAAACAAGTCATTATTGCATTACCTAGTAATCAGTATGGAAAAGCCCAACCCTGGTTATGGTTAACAAGAATTGTTAATGATATATAAATCATTTGATCTATTGTGCCCTCCAGACTAAAAGGAAAATAATGGCAACCCCAAGCAAATGGTCCTAATTAGTGTCCAAGAAACCACTTCCTAAATGTATCCTTCCAACTCATTTCAGTTTGACTGTCCAGAACAATCTTTTGTTCTTAACTTCTTTATTTTGTGTGTAACTGCAAAAATGTTCTGCATGTCAAAGCTCCAAAAATAACCCACCTAAAGCTATTGCACAGCAATAAGAGCAGAAGGGAAGACAGTGTGATTCTAGTCTCTGAGTATTGCCTGTAAATATTTCCTGATCATCTAAAACTTTTTCCCCAAAGCCTTGCCTCCTGCCAATCTCCTTTGAGAAGTTCCAAAGGAGATTTCATCAAAAAAGTCTTTGCCACTACTGTGATACAAACTTTAAAAAGGAAAAGCTAAAAACAGACCCAGAACTAAGCCGAGCATATTTGAACTATGTATCACATGCTTTCACTCCTTCTTTCCACTTCTTGAAAGTGTGATCTTTAAGTTAAATACACTATGAGTATACCCATATATACTACACTGCACACGATACCCATATGAAGACCCATGCACCAACTGCAGGAGTAGCAAGAACGTGGTCAGGGGATTATTGTGGCCTTGATTTTGTCTCCCCTACAATCAATGAGACTTTTGCTATTTACTCCATGGAAGGACTGTATCCTGGATGTACAAAATACATACTATTATTTCTCATAAGATTGAATAAGATTGAGTGCCAAATCCTATTACTTAAAAGTAAATCACTGTCTGTTCTACCAAATCCTACATCTTTTGACACTTCTCAATCCAACTATGAAACATAATTCTTAAGGTTTTAAACACAGCTCTGGACAAGTAAATTACCTTTGTGACAAAAAAACATCTTGGTTATATTATCTTGTTTCTTTAAAAAAGGAACGTTTCCTGGAAACAGACTTTCTGACATGCTGGTTCTTTTCTAGACACAACAGACTTGCCAAAGAGAACAGAACTTCTCTAAAACGACAGTCAATTAAATATCTCCTGTGCAGTACTTTTCGTGGTATTTCCAAGAGATAACGCTAATGGGAAATGTTGCAATGTTTTATTTTAACTTGAAGAAAATCCCTCAACGACCTTTCCTGGACTTAAAACGTCCTTGACTTGTTTAGAGTCATGGAAAAAACCACAAAAGATAGGTTGCAAACTCTTACAACTGCAGCATAAATGATTTTATAAAGCCACGGAGACAATATACAAACTTATGCTGAAAAGCAAGGCTTTCATACTCACATGCCTGCATGCACAGCCACAGCATTTACCTCTCTGCAAGTGGGCAACTTTGGTGAGCACTAAATAACCTGTAACTGGATCCACGTAGTTCTGCTGGCCAGCCTTAAAAGAAAAACAAACAACCTCAGCTCTGAGGAGTCTTCACCTTTTTGAGGCTTCATACTGGAAGAGATTTTGATATTACCCTCCTAAAACATAACTGCTAAAATGGAATCAGTTTGACTGCTGATTCACGATTAAACGTGTTCATAAAGCTGTTTTATTTCGTAATTCGGAAAGACCTCACAAACAAGCAGACAGGGACAGCGCACAGAAGCGGACGCTGCACATCTATGGGGCGCGTGTTAGCGCTGCCAGGGCCGCAGCTTGCCCGCCCGGGGGCCCGGCGGGGCGCCACACACTGCAGCACCCACCCGCCTCTCCCGCCGACCTTTGCCCCGCTCCCTTTCGAAACGTCAGCCCCC